AATCATTCCAGGAATCATTCCATCATTCCAGGAATCAACGATACCTTCCTGGTGCACTACAGTTTGGATAAACCTTTGGTACTATCCTGTGATGCTTCACCATACGGAGTTGGAGCTGTGCTGCAGCACTGCATCAATTCGGAAGAGAGACCTGTGGCATACGCTTCTCGAAAACTGACCAGCACAGAACAGAACTACTCACAGTTGGAAAAAGAAGGACTTGCCATTGTCTTTGAAGTGTCAAAATTCAGACAATACCTGCTGGGACATGATTTCACGCTGGTGACAGATCATCGTCCATTAATGAGATTGTTCTCGCCTTCAAAGGAAACTCCAGTGATGGCTGCATCGCGCATCAAAAGATGGGGACTGATACTTGCTTCATTCAACTACGAGATTGAATACAGAACCTCTAAGCAGAATGCTCCAGCTGATGGGTTGTCACGACTGCCCCTCATATCAGAGCAAGATGACAGTGGAGATCACAACAGTGAGTTGATCCTTCTGATCAATAGGTTTGACGAAGAATTGCCTATCACTGCAAGGCAAGTTGCTATGGAAACTGGGAAAGACCCAGTGTTACGACAACTTCGATTGCTAAAACTGGAAGGATGGCCACAGTATATTGAGGGAGATCAAACAGACTTGAAGCCATATTTCCAGAGAAAATTGGAACTGAGTGTGGAGCAAGGTGTTGTCTTATGGGGCACAAGAGTAGTTATCCCAAGTGACTTCAGAGAGACACTGTTGGAAGAGCTGCATGGTGAACATTCAGGAATGGTAAGAATGAAGTCGGTGGCCAGATAAATTATGTGGTGGCCAGGACTAGACAGTCAGATTGAGGAAAAGGTGAGACAATGTCTTGATTGCCAGGAGATAGCAAATCAACCTGCAGCAGCTCCGCCGACAAGCTGGAAGTGGCCATCATCGCCAGTGATGTCAGTGTTTCTGGGATCAGCAGAAAGCACAGTGATGGCACAGCAACCATGTGTTCTTGTGGGATCTAAGGGGTTGACAGAACCAAAAGTGGAAATTGAAGTCAACCAGAAGCAGGTGTCGGATGCAGAAGAACTAAAGGAAAGGCGTTACCCTACCCGAGATCGACGTCCTCCAGTTCGATATGAGTGTGAGAAGTGAAAAGACTGTAAATGTGTTGTCAGTGTTATCAGTAAATATTAGCGCCCAAATTAGGCTATTTTCCTTTCAAAGTAAGAATATGGACATTTCAGTTTACTGCTAAAGACTTTAATTTGTTCAAATGGAAGAGTTTGCTTCTAGTCAGTTTTCAATATTCCAGTTGTGTTAAATTTTCTTGCAATTTTGTAGGAGCAACCAAAAAGTTTCCAGCGGTGAAAACTTAGGGGGGAATGGTGTAGTGTATGGGCTTGTGTGGCAGATACATGTATTGGAGACAACTCCTGCAGCCTTATGTGACGGTAGCGGCAAGCTGATTAGAGTTTCGTCCCTTGGGGACCCCTGCTTGTAACCCCGACTTCCTGAGTAAACGCTCGACGTAGAAGTCATGGTATGTTGTGTTCTGTTCGGCCACGGCCTTGTGTATAAGATTTAATACACAACAGGCACAATGTCTGAAACCCATTTCTGGTGTCCCCCGTCGTGATGTTGCTGGAATATTGCTAAAATCAGCGCAAAGCCATACTCACTCACTCACTCAATTGTTTTGCCCCCTTCATGCTGAGCAGGGGCTTGTAATGCCGAAGACACAGGTTCGATTCCCCACATGGGCACAATGCGTGAAACCCATTTCTGTTGCTGGAATATTGCTAAAACTAAACTCACTCACCCTTAGTTTTCCTGCATAGCTTAGTGGATTTGTCTTTATGGTATCCGAGCCTGCACCAGCAGAGTCCAGCAATACAGTTCAAGTTAGGATCTTTCCTTTGATATGCGTTTGTTGTCAAATCCGGGCTTTTGCCTGAAAATAATAACAATATTAAGGCCACTTATACAGCACTGAGCTCCACGCTGCAAGACATGCTCAAGGCGCATACAACATGATGGACATTGTTACACCGGATAACCCAAGCTGCCTGTGAGGAGCGAGGCTAAGGTCATTAGACTTATCCCACCGGGTACCCATTTTCTGCTGGGTGAACAGAGGCATTTTTTAACAAACTCGCTTGCCTAAGGCGAGACCACATGTGTCACGTTCGATGTGGGGCAGTACAGAAGTATTAGAAACACTTAGGACTCTCCATGACCAACGTTGCTTAACTTCAACAGATTTGTGACGATCGCTTGTCACGAAGATGACCCGAGTTCGATTCCCAACATGGGGACAATGTGTGAAGCCCATTTCTGGTGTACATCACCGTGTTATTGCTGGAATATTGCTCAAGTGTCGTAAAACTGACTGACTCACACTACAGAAATTACTTGGTTTCCTGAAACCTGGAAAAAATCAGTATAGTGGGTAATTGGGGAATCCAACCGGAAATGGTGCAAAAATCAGTTTCAGTTTTCATGGAAACCACAATGAAACTATAGGAAACTACCTGGAAACCATCTGGAAATGGTGGTTTCCATGTCGTTTCTTCTCAGTTTTCCGGATACCAACTTATTTTTGTTGTGTCACTGTTTACAGATTGATATTTTCACCACCAACATCGACAAGAAGAACATCATTTTACCAGGATGAATGTTTGGGTCGATCTCTGTTCTAATTCTGAATGTAAGATGGTAATTAAACATATTATCCTGGGAACCAACACTGTGGAAGACATCTTTATTCGACAAACGTAAGATTGTTGTCTGAACGAGCTGTACCAGTGACACGTATAGATCTGTGAAGATCCGGGTGAGACGCATGGCCTTCAGAAGACAGAGGTCAGACTCGCTCTTTTGATGGATGCATAACAATGCTAAAGAACAATCAAACATATGAAGAAAGGAAATGTTTAATTTCAAAAAATAAATACATTAAACAATAATATATTTTGCAACTGGTAAATGTCTCATTTCTAGTATTCAACTTGTAAGTATACATATGTCCTGCACCACTGAAACCTGAATACATCATACTTTGTGTGCTTGTTTTATTCTTTAGAAAGGTAACCGCCTCCGTGGTGTAGTGGTTAGAGCGTCCGCCCGGAGAGCGGAAGGTCGCGGGTTCGATCCCCGAGCCCGTCATACCAAAAGACGTTAAAATATGGTACTTGTTGGTCCCTACCTGCGCTCGGCATTAATGGGTACAACAAGGACTGGTCGGCTCAGATTCAGTATAATGTGTCTGAGTTGGGTATTCATGCTTTACTGCGGCATGGTATCTCAGTGGGCTAGCACTATAAAACCAGCTTCAGTCTGGGCTAGTACAAGCAGCCGCACCTACACATACACACGCATGCACGTCGTCATATGAGCGAAATATTCTCAAGCACGACGATAAACCCAATTTCACCTCACCTCACCTTTAGTAAGGCAAAACTTAACCATTTTACACCAACTGTATTACAAACAATGGAAGTCTGACAACTGGCCATGGGGCTAAATTTTCGAAGCCTTCTTAGCGCTAAGACAGTCGGAAGTTAATGTTAATGTATGGCCCTTACGACTGTCTTAGCGCTAAGAGAGCTTCGAAAATCTAGGCCATGGTTGTGTACATCACGTAATCTGCCGACCCGTCTTAGAGCTATGTATACACAATGCCATTTAGAAAGTCAAATGTCAAATGTAACAAATGCAATATATGTGATTACACTTTCTCAGAGGGGTACACGAAATATCTTTCGACCGGGGAAGCCGTGCACATTTCCAGTTGTCAGAGGACTGCACTAACCAGATGTCAAACTCTAAGTTTTGTGGAAGACGCTGTGGGTGTGTGGGTTAGATCGGTGACTGTGTGTACTGGCTGTAACGTGACTTAGGCGTATAGGTTCGAGTACCGGATAGGGGCCAACCCCCCCATAAAACATACCAGAATCTATACTTTACGGGGAAAGTGTAAACCCAAATATAAAATATTTATATGGTAGGAATATCCGGGTAGGAATTGACCTTCAGCAACTCCTACATGATCGGGTGGTAAGGGTAGCTGACTTGACTGACACATGTCATCGTATCTCAACTGCAGAAGTCAATGGTCATGCTATTGATCACTGGTTTGCCTGGTCCAGACTAGATTATTAACAGACTGTCTCCATATACCTAGAATATTGCTGAGTGCGGCGTTAAACAACAAACAATCCAACCAACCACTCTCTAATGGCAGTGTGTATTCATATAACGAGTTGTTTACATTTTCCTGCCCAAAGTGTCAACAACTATTTGGATGTACGTGTTTCATTCAGTCTCAGTAAACTTAGGCTCGGTATTATTCGTTACACTGCTATACTGAGTCTAACAGGCCCTAGTAGAAGGTCGCGTCAGCTAACCTTTGCCCCACTTATGACCGTCCAATCTAATGCGAGACGGCCGGACGGATTCAACCAACCAGACAACGGCTACTATTTAGGGTTCGGTGGGACTTACAAAATTCCCCAGTCAGTGACCCTGACCTCTCAACAAACGAAAATCCGCATAAAACACATATATTTGACCTGCAGTATATACGCTTGGGGCTTTCTGATGACATCATGGTTACCATTTGCTAATATTTCCGCAAGCTGACATCCTTGAATATTGACACAAACGCTATTTTCAGCGACTGTTTACTCACTGCTGTGGCGTGCTCCATGTGCATCAGTTGGAAAAATGCCTTCAGAATCGTTCGGGTACCAACTTTTCGAGGTAAAAGTTCAGAAGGTATGTGCGAATGTCAACTTTCGCGATTTGGTAAGCTGTGCTCTGATTGGTCAACTGGAAAGGTTAGCTAACGCGACCTTCTACTAGGGTTTGTTAGACTCAGCATAGCAGTGTAACGAATAATACCGAGCCTAAGTTTACTTAGACTGATGTTTCATTACCATGAACCTTCCCGCATCGGTCGGTGACTTTGTCTTTGCGGTATCCCAGCCTACACCAACAGCGGCCAGCAAGGCAGTTCAAGAAGGGATCTCTGCTTTGGGCAGCCCTTGTTGCATGTTCAACGCTCTTGTCTGCAAAGAGATGCAACAGAAGTAAGATCATTCATTCTGGTTTCATGACTGAATTTCAGTAATCCATTGACATATTTGTGCCTGTTAAGACCAATGGAAGTAGGTTCGTTCTTTTGGGCAGCCCCTGTTGCATGTTCAACGCTCTCGTCTGCAAAGAGATGCAACAGAAATAGGTCCGTTCATTCGGGTGTCATCACTGAATTTCTGTGATCCATTTATATAATGTTAAACTATATTGTGACAGTTAAGACCAGTAGAAGTATCATCTCTCCTATAAGGACCCCCTGTTGCATTTCATCGTTCGGTCTTAGACAGTCATATACGGTGTCCCCCACCACGTTCGTACTGGTAAAATACAACTAAAATGCACTAACTCACAGTGTGTTATTCGAGACTAGTTTTTCTCTGGAGTTTATGTACATTCAAGTAAATGAAACAAAAAACGTTTGCTTATATTTTTTGTTATATGCTCCGAATTTTCTACTTCTAAGCAATGAAAGTCATTACCCGGAACTTTCCTTTGGTAAGCTTCTGGTTCTGTGTGCGCAGGTCTCCTGTCTGAAAGGGAAGACAAGAATCACATAGATAAGTAAGTAAGTAATGGCTATTTGTAAAGCGCCTGTATCCACACAGCTGTGCATGCTAAAGGCGCTAACACATTATTACAGGCAGCTCTAGAAATGTAACAGTCATATATTTTATCCCACCAGATACCCATTCACTGCTGGGTGAACAGGGGCAATGTTTGAACAAAATCACTTGCCTAGGGACGCATATGTCCTTTGAAATAACTATACCAGCGGAGGTGCAATTATTCCAACTAATCTTGATACCTGATTTCGTTTTTAAAAATGGCTGCCATGGCAGCCATATTGAAAACCCAAATACATGTCACGTACGACCAACACATAATGTCATAGGGAAAGTGGACTACCTGAGTTACATTTCATCTTTAGTCATTCGTGTTTCCTCAATGTGCTTGCTATATGACACTTCCCATGTATGGCACAAGGGTCGGCCATGTTTACATATCACGTAACTTTCTACTCTCAGACACAACATACCGGAAAACTAGTATTTTCATAGTTTCTCAATCGGTACAGTCATTTAAAGATGTTGGAATATAATTGAAATGGTGTGTTACTAATCTATGATGTGATTGGTAAATGTTAGATATTGAAACAACACTCGATATTGAAATCATTGTTGAAGATTAAGTATATGTCAAATATGTAAAATACATTTAAAAATATTCAGTTTTTGTAATCTAATACTGTATTATCAGAGTTGGTAGCAATTTTATTTAAGTGGATTTAGTTTGCACTTAAACAGCTGTGACTTATCGATAGGGGCTACAGTTCTGTTGCACTATTTTCAATATTTGACTAACCAAAGGCATGCATCTGACTTTGATTTTGCTTTCTTGTGGATTAATCTCGATCAGTTTGAATCCATGATATGATTGGGAAAGTTTGTATAGCATAACATATATTTCTGAAAGCATACAGAGATACATGATATTGAAATCATTGTATATGTGAAATGTTATAAAACATTTCGAGATATGAAGTTGTTGTAATTTAGTTCTGTTTTATTAGTTCTGACAGTAATTGTTTTGTTGAAAGGATGTTGTTTAGATTCAGAACTGCTGCGACTTTTCTTATCGGTGTGAGCTACAGTCCAGTGCCAATATGTTTCATTCTTTGAGTAACCCAATACAAACATTTGAGCTTGAACTTGTATTTTTTTTTTATCTTTTGTAATTATCCATCAAACACCGTCAGGTGAAAATCAACTTCTTTGAGGACATTTTGCCTACATATACCATGAACAGTGGAATTTATAGGGGATTGTTTTGTAAACGCAAGAAACAAAAGAGTCCTGCAACTCTTGCTCAGAAAGTTGTTTGGGAAAACATCGAGGTTGCAACAAACAGCGCCTTATCAAAGCATTCTAGAAATGTTCTGACAGACGTGGAAAACCTTTCCATGTTTGATAATGGGTGCGGTGAGGTGAAATTGGGTTTAACGTCGTGCTTGAGAATATTTCGCTTATATGACGACGTGCATGCGTGTGTATGTGTAAGTGCGGCTGCTTGTCGTAGTCCAGACTGAAGCTGGTTTTATAGTGCTAGCCCACTGAGATACCATGCCGCAGTGAAGCATGGATACCCCACTCAGACACATTATACTGACTCCGAGCCGACTAGTCCTTGTTGTACCCATTAATGCCGAGCGCAGGCAGGGACCAACAAGTACCATATTTTAACGTCTTTTGGTATGACGCGGTCGGGGATCGAACCCGCGACCTTCCGCTCTCCGGGCGGACGCTCTAACCACTACACCACGGAGGCGGTCTTTGATAATTGGAGACAAAACCTGTGTCCATTGCGATGCCCTATTCTCTTTTGCATCATATGATCCCATGTTAGCTTTTTGGTGTACAATTTAGTTAGTTCGTCCGAAAGCCTAATACTGCCACTTGTGCAGCATCAAATATTTTTTCAGCGAAATTTCCTGCTGCTTCGATTATTTTGTCGGTGCTTCGGAGGATTTTCTGGTTATTTTAATTATTCTCTGGTTATTTCACTTATGTTCTAGTTGCTTCAAGTATTTTCTCGTTGCTTCGAGTATTTTCTCGTTGCTCCAAGTTTCTTAAAAATCTTAAAATTTCGATGATCATCTACGTCCCCATGGTCCCTAGTATGGTGATCTACCTTCAGTTGTTGGCGATCTATAGCCCAATTTTACATTGTATTGTCCAGAAATAATTTTCGACTTGTAAAGATATATGTTAGCTAGTTTTACCTCAATCTGTGATAATCTAGTGGTTTTACTGTCCTTCGTTTACAGGGTTTTATATATTATATGTATGTATTACAAATTGAGAACTAGTTTTAGTCACGATATGGCTGAAATATTGCCGATGTGACTTTAAATCTTAACTCACTCACTCACTCACTCGATGATCATCTCCTTGCTTTGATTATTTTCTCGCTGCAAGCACCGACAAAATAATCGAAGCAACGAGACATTTTGCTGAAAAACATTTAATGCTGCGAAAGTGGCAGTGCTGGTGCCTGGTGCCGTCGGTGGTGCAGGATACACTCACCTTTTTGCCAACACCCGCCATCATCACTATTTGATGGCGATCCATGCTTATTATTTAGCCGAAATCACACAGTTCTATCTAGATTATTCTAATAAGGACGGACAACAATATATAAATGAACGACCTCTTTTTTAACAGTGAGAGCGATGTTTCGGTGTAGGTTCTAACACCGTTATCAAGCAAACGAACCTACCCCGAAACGTCGCTCTCACTCGCATAAAGAAGTTGTTCATCCATATATAGTTAGCCTTCCTTACTACTCTAAAAATGATCGAAGACGTTAATCTCAATAAGGTTTGTTCACATTGGATATTATCTTGCCTCACACATAAATGTCGTTTTCTTCTTTCATTATTTTCAATGTACCCAGCTTACAAGCGAGTAACATTTTCGCTGGGAATGCCGAACTCATTTGGTTCTTCGTAGTAGTAATTCTTTATCTCGAATAACATTGAATCACGAATGATTTACGGAAATTACCGATGTTTTCGTACTCCATACTATGACCCGATACCAGTTCAAAATTACCATTGAGGTGTTCGCTAAGATAAATACGTTGTTCATGAGTTGATGTACCATCGATGTTCCTTTATGTTCATAACATTAACAAACATCGAGGGTACATCAGCCCAGGTACCCCTCGAGACCAGTGAACAACTTATAATATTTCCAGTATAGTTCATCACCCGAGGGTACATACATTAATTTTCTTTGTGATCACCCACCTTTGGCAACGCGATATACAATGTAGCCCCTGTTGGAATATGTCTTGTTTCGTGAAAATGACGCTAAGGTTACACAGTTTCCCAATATTCGGGAGAAGTGTATTCCAACACAGTTATTGTGGTGAAGACAAAGCACTACACAGTTCACAAGACTGATCTGTGTGACCACCTGTGTGGGTGTTCCGGGAGTGTATCGGGTCCTCTGTGCTCTGTACACGTGAATAGCGAAGGACGACAATGAATCCACACAGACAAAAGTCACGATCGCCATCAAAAGAATCATGTTCAAAGCTGCTCCTCTGAATCCTTGGTTTAACTTCATATGTTGTGCTGTGAGCATTTCTGATCATGCATGGGACAAACATACTATAGTTGCACACCAGCCAAGTTCTCTGAGCACAAAGAACATGTAGTCGTTGAGCATGATGCTGCCTGTTTATTGCTTTTTCATGAAAACCTTCTCATCAAATTATTTTCGAGATTTATTGCACCGAGTGTCTGTCTCAATGACAACCCTAATCTTCCATCATGGAGTGACTGCTTTGATATTTTCCAAAGAATTTAACCAGTATAATTCTCATGAATATTTCATGGCAATAATCTGAAATGGCCCTATTCATTCTGATAACGTTATATCTGTGAAACCATTGTTATAACAGGAACCGATGGTGCCTTTATCTCCTGAAACAGCAACCATTCTGCTATCTGAACGGCCCCTTCCAGAAGAGGAAAAGACTTTCAGAAAATGAAAATATATTTTCAGGAGACTTTCTACACTGGCATTTT